ATATAGTCCACGATGAGCAGCGCTAAAATCAACCTGCGTAGTTGTCCCTCCATTGTGACATTAGAAAGTGTCACATTTATCTTGCAAGTGTACTCTTCTTCAACGTTTGCTTTACTTCCTGGATTTTTCCCACATGGAAATTCTGACCAATCAAGAGCAGCTTTCTCACACAAGGCATTTGATCTGGTCCTCTTGTAAATGCTGCCGTGAGAACACGAACCAACTCTAGACAATTATACAACTTTGGAACAACATGAGTCCCTGATTCAGACCAAAGGAGACCACTCTAGGGCTGACAGCAGCCTGAACCATTACAGTGCCTCAGGTGTCTTCTGCTCCTCCAACTTCTCTCAGACTGATGAGAAACTTTAAACACTAAATACGTTCATTATTCTCAGACTAAAATCTGACGAGTCCAAATTTCGGACAGACACAAACAGTGTTTTTAGTTTATCCAAACTCGCTTCTTTTAACTCAACTCAACTTTATTAATAAAGCACCTTTCATACAAATGATCAACTGAACAAAAAGTTTATTAAGACAAAAAAATGACAATGAGACAATAAAATATAAAAAAAGCAAACCAAGTAACAACAAAATTGATTAAAGGTCCACAGAATAAAAAGAAAGGTTAAAGGTTAAAATAAAGTTAAATCCAGTGGTTAACACTTAAAAATCAGGACTATAATGTTACTCAACATTAAAAGCCAGATTAAAAAGACAGGTCTTTAATTCACGTTTTTAAACACTGAGAGAGTCATTTGCCATTCTGATATCCAGAGGGAGCGAGTTCCACAGTTCAGGGACATAAAATCATCATGTGATCCATTTTCCTTGTTTTAGTCAACACTCTGGCTGCAGCGTTCTGGACTAGCTGGAGTTTTCGTTTTGACTCTTCAGGTAGTCCAGTGAAAGGGGAACTGCAATAGTCTTAACTGCTGGTAATAAAAGTGTGAGTGAGTATTTCGGCATCTTTCTGGGTTAAAAAAGGTCTGACCTTAGCAATGTTCCCGAGATGATAAAATGATGTTTTCATGATGATAGAATGAGAATTATAATTTAAGTCAGAGTCTAAAACCACTCCCAGGTTGGTAACATCAGTGTTAATGTGCTTGCTGAGGCCACCAAACACTTACTGCAGTTTTTCTCTCGCTGCTTTTTGTCCGATTAAAAGAAGCTCAGTTTTTTCTACATTTAGCTTTGAAAAGTTTTTACCCATCCAAACATTAATGTCAGAAAGACGGGCAATCAGACCATCCAATGCATTGGAGGCATTCAGTGTGACAGAGATGTATAATAGTGTGTCATCAGCATAAAAATGGTGATTAATGGAGTGATGGTTAATAATGTTACCAAGTGATAATGAGAACAAAAGTGGTCCAAGAATGCTTCCTTGTGGAACACCACATGTAATACTATCAGTTTGTGATACATGAGCACCCAGACAGACACAAAACTGTCAGTTATATACGATCTAAACAAACCACTTAGCCTTAGTGTGTTTTGTGAGAACGGCTCCAGAACTTTGAATCATCTTCACTGTCAGTCCCTTGAATAACAAACAGCTTCTGTCAATGCTGGCAGTGATGGCGGGGACGTCGAGACACGATCGAGAGATGGCGATGAACGCCAAGCGCCAATTGTCAGAGTGCTCGGACCCAGTGGAGAGACTCAGGCTGCAGTGTCTGGCCCGAGGATCATCTGGTATCAAAGGTTTGGGCAGGTGAGCTCCTGTTTGTCATATATTCAGGGTTCAAGTTCCGAAGGGGCAAAAACCCAGTTGAGTTTGTGACGATTTGTTTTTGTTATTTTCAGGGCTGCAACAGTACAAGATTTTTTTACTGTGCAATATCTGTCTCAGAAAATATCAGTGTTACAGGATTATTATTATTCTCACTCAGAATGAGCCTTAAAGGAATTAAAACAGAGGGGTTAGTGTTGGTTGAACAAAGGTTTTATTTCTGTAACTGAAACTTGAAACATTTTCTTAATGAAAGTTTGTGTAAGAAGAAAATAACTCAAATAAATGAGAGATTCAGCGTCCAGTTTAAATTTCTTTTTCAGTATCATAAATAAGCAAATGTACACGGTATGATAACCGTACTAATTATTATAATTATTATTATTTGTCATAAGCTGGTCTGGCTCAGATTAGCGTGAGCTGGAATGAGCTAGAAACATGAAACTCGGCCCCACAACTGGAAATTATGTGCAAATGCCTCCCAAGAAATATGACCCCAATCAGCCACATGGTGGCGCTGTAATTAATGCCCCAAAAAGGTGATTTTGGACAGGCCACGCCCCTCACATCATGGGACAAGTTGGGACAAATATGCAGCTTAATATGCTCTACAAAAGAAGGCTCTTGGACCACAGAGGTCTGCCATGATTCGCTGATCTGCGTCAAGTGGAAGACAGTAATGTGACATCTTTGGGATTTTGGCTCTAAAGCACCAAAGTTTTTACACCGCACTATGAAATTGACACATGATGCTGGTATAAATGAGCAGGATCTGTCAGAAACATGGGGGTGCCATCAGTCAAAGGGTTGGGTTAGAAAAATAAGCCATAACTCAAGTCAATGAATTTTCCAGATGATAAAATAAGTCATTAATTTTGGAGGTAAAAGTCCGATATGACTCGTTATGACATGACAGTGCTGTGACAGTGTGAGTTGATATGAATACACTCAAAGAACAACAAGATACAGCAACATAACTTTTACATGAAGTACTATGACTTTGGTTGGAGCAGTGTCACATCAGAGGAAGTGCTGCTGGCCTCGTGCCTACGATTGATCAGCCATGTTAATATTCCTGCACACGAGCTCCCTACTTTGTGTAAGTCCACACATTACCACAGGTCGAATACATTTGATCATGTACTTTTGTCTCTTTGTTTCCATGGTGAAGCTTGTTTTGGTGACATATACGTGATGCATGTTTTTCATACTGTAGCAGAGACAATGTCTTGAAACATATTTTAACGATTCTTTAAGAATTCTGGGGTACAATACTATAACACGTTTGAGATCAACATTCTTTATTTAAACAGCCCAAGGAAACTTTTTATAGTATGTTTTTAATTATTTTTTTTTTAACATACGATACTGTAAAACTTTTGTTTAAAGTATTATGCTATAGCATTTTTTCCTTTTTTTACATGCTGCGCTGTGACTTTTTTTTATGTTTATAATCATACACTATTTCATGTTTATAATTTTATATATGTTTTTGTGATTTTTTGTTCAACATACTCGACTGAAATTTTGGTGACGTTTTGAATGGCATGCTATACTATGACGTTTTTGTTATATTTTCATCGACATGCTATACTATGACGTTTATTGTGACATTTTGATCGGCATGCTATACTATGACATTTATTATGACATTTTCATCGACATGCTATACTATGACGTATTTTTTTACATTTTGATCGACATGCTATACTATGACATTTATTATGACATTTTAATCGACATGATATACTATGACGTTTATTGTGACATTTTGATCGGCATGCTATACTATGACATTTATTATGACATTTTGATTGACATGCTATACTCTGAAGTTTTTTTTACATTTTGATCGACATGCTATACTATGACATTTATTATGACATTTTCATCGACATGCTATACTATGACATTTATTATAACATTTTCATCGACATGCTATACTATGACATTTATTATAACATTTTGAACGACATGCTATACTATGACGTTTATTATAACATTTTGATCAAAATACTATACTATGACATTTATGATGACATTTTCATCGACATGCTATACTATGACATTTATTATGACATTTTGATTGACATGCTATACTCTGACATTTTTTTTTACATTTTGATCTACATGATATACTATGACGTTTATTGTGACATTTTGATCGGCATGCTATACTATGACATTTACTATGACATTTTGATTGACATGCTATACTCTGACGTTTTTTTTACATTTTGATCGACATACTATACTATGACATTTATTATGACATTTTGATTGACATACTATACTCTGACGGGTTTTTTTACATTTTGATCAACATGCTATACTATAACATTTATTATGACATTTTAATCGACATGATATACTATGACGTTTATTGTGACATTTTGATCGACATGCTATACTATGACATTTATCATGACATTTTAATCGACATGCTATACTATGACATTTATTATGACATTTTGATTGACATGCTATACTCTGACGTTTTTTTTACATTTTGATCGACATGCTATACTATGACATTTATTATGACATTTTCATCGACATGCTATACTATGACATTTATTATGACATTTTGATCGACATGCTATACTATGACATTTGTTTTTTACATTTTCATCGACATGCTATACTATGACATTTATGATAACATTTTGAACGACATGCTATACTATGACGTTTATTATGACATTTTAATCGACATGCTATACTATGACGTTTATTGTGACATTTTGATCGGCATGCTATACTATGACATTTACTATGACATTTTGATTGACATGCTATACTCTGACGTTTTTTTTACATTTTGATCGACATACTATACTATGACATTTATTATGACATTTTAATCGACATGATATGCTATGACGTTTATTGTGACATTTTGATCGGCATGCTATACTATGACATTTATTATGACATTTTGATTGACATGCGATACTCTGACGTTTTTTTTTTTTACATTTTGATCGACATGCTATACTATGACATTTATTATGACATTTTCATCAACATGCTATACTATGACATTTATTATGACATTTTGATTGACATGCTATACTCTGACGTTTTTTTTACATTTTGATCGACATGCTATACTATGACATTTATTATGACATTTTCATCGACATGCTACGCTATGACATTTATTATAACATTTTCATCGACATGCTATACTATGACATTTATTATGACATTTTCATCGACATGCTATACTATGACTTTTTTTTTTAGATTTTGATCGACATGCTATACTATGACATTTATTATAACATTTTGAACGACATGCTATACTATGACGTTTATTATGACATTTTGATTGACATGCTATACTGTGACGTTTTGATGACATTTTAATCGACATGCTATACTATGACGTTTTGATGACATTTTGATCGACATACTATACTATGACGTTTTGATGACATTTTCATCGACATGCTATACTATGACGTTTATTATGACATTTTCATCGACATGCTATACTATGACATTTATTATGACATTTTGATCGACATGCTATACTATGACATTTATTATGACATTTTGATCGACATGCTATACTGTAACGTTTATTTCGACATTTTGATCGACATGCTATACTATGACATTTATTATGACATTTTCATCGACATGGTATACTATGATGTTTATTATGACATTTTCATCGACATGCTATACTATGACGTTTTGATGACATTTTGATCGACATGCTATTCTGTGACATTTATTATGACATTTTCATCGACATGCTATACAATGACATTTATTATGACATTTTCATTGACATGCTATGCCATGACGTTTATTATGACATTTTCATCGACATGCTATATACTATGACATTTATTATGACATTTTTATCGACATGCTATACTATGACATTTATTATGACATTTTCATCGACATGCTATGCCATGACGTTTTGATGACATTTTCATCGACATGCTATAATATGATGTTTTTTTTGTGACACTTTCATCGACATGCTATACTATGAGGTTTTGATGACATTTTGATCGACATTCTACACTATAACGTTTATTTTGACATTTTCATTGACATGCTATACTATGACATTTATTATGACATTTTCATCGACATGTGACGTTTTGATGATATTTTGATTGACACGCTATAATGACACTTATTATGACATTTTGATTGACATGCTATGCTATGACTTTTTCTTTTACATTTTGATTGACATGCTATACTATAACATTTATTATGACATTTTGATCGACATGCTATACTGTAACGTTTATTTCGACATTTTGATCGACATTCTATACTATGACATTTATTATGACATTTTCATCGACATACTATACTATGACGTTTATTATGACATTTTCATCGACATGCTATACTATGACGTTTATTATGACATTTTGATCGACATACTATATTATGACATTTATTATGACATTTTCATCGACATGCTATACTATGACATTTTGGTCACAGTTTTATCATCATGCTATACTATGACATTTTAGTCACATTTTCATCATATGCTATGACGTTTTGGTCACATTTTCATTGACATGCTATACTATGACATTTTGGTCACATTGTCATCGACATGCTATACTATGACGTTTTGGTCACATTTTCATCGACATGCTATACTATGACGTTTTGGTCACATTTTTATCGACATGCTATACTATGACGTTTATTATGACATTTTCATCGACATGCTATACTATGACGTTTTGATGACATTTTGATCGACATACTATACTATGACGTTTATTATGACATTTTCATCGACATGCTATACTATGACATTTTGGTCACATTTTCATCGTATACTATGACGTTTTGGTCACATTTTCATCGTATACTATGACGTTTTGGTCACATTTTCATTGACATGTTATACTATGATGTTTTGGTCACAGTTTTATCATCATGCTATACTATGACATTTTAGTCACATTTTCATCGTATACTATGAC